ATGAGTGATATCAGCAGAGAAGATGCAGGCAGTGGCGCAGTCCACTGTTCCACGTCATATTTGACTGTATTAAGTCCTCATAACGGGGATCGATAGAGTCTGTGGAGTAGCCCTTCTGAGGACTGGGAAGCCTCAGCACCACCCAGGGATCTGTAGTGGCTCGCACTCTGTGAAGCTTGCCAGCACATTTGACCTGACCTGCTCCACATCCACACACAAACTTCAACCTATAAAAAGGCACACACACGCAGTTAAGCAAGCAAACATTATTACAGGCAGGATATGGGAGTTTTGATCCACAGCTGCTGCCCGGAGTGTGGAACGTTAGATCGGGGTGTGCAGATCAATAGCAAAGGGCAAAAAAAAAGGAGAAGTTCAGCAGACAGACAAACAGCTCACACATGCCACAAAGGCACACGAAGCTGCGTAGACATAATAGAGTTATACTTTTTTGCAGGGGTGTCTACAAAATAAATGGCTGCCAACACAAGATGGTTGTATGTCTGTGTGGGTGTGTGTGTCACCCACAAGCCAGCAACTTCACCCACACCACAGGTATGGTTATACAGTGCAGGCAGTGAGTCAGAGAGGACGCACGCCCATGCATGCACACACAACCTACCTCATGTATGTGCACATCCTCTCAGCCAGCCCACTTTGAACAAAGTCCAAATCATCGTCCAAAATCTCAAACCCTTCCTGTTTTCACACAGAACATACCCGCAAACCTTTACCTTGTTTTAACCAGCCTCTGCTGTCACCTTCACTGTTTCAGCGGTGTGTTTTTTGTTTTTTTTAGTAGACGAAGATAAAGCAATAGCAAAATGTAACACTCAGCTGTCCGTATTAATCTCCTAAGACCGGAACTCTTCCACGGCATTCATTTTTAATTTCTCTTTGATATTTGAGCTGATTGGGACCTGATGAATGTAAAACAAAGAATTACCAGATTTTATTTTTATCTTATTTTTGTTTCTAAGAAAAATAAGAGCCACATATGAGGATATTCGTTTAGGTTAAGAGCCGGGAGTATGCTTTCACTGAGCGCGAGCGGTACCGGAGGCTCGCACGTGCGACTACGTGTCGACACTTTCAGGACTTTTTGTGACACACACGCGCACGCACGAAGTGCGTTACACACCACTAAGACATAACGCAACACGTCAGGTCTGAGCGAGGCAGTCCGCCTTCTCGTTACACGCAGTGCAACGCGTATAAATCTGTACCCACACTTCCTGTGGGAGCGCATTAAAAACTAAAACGGACTTTGTTTATTCATTCATTTATTTATTTATTTTCAGTTCGGTTCCCACGTTTCTGGGTTTTTCTTTTTTTTCTTACCGTAAACGCAACACTCTACACTAACCGCTCTGCTTTACAAAGAAGAGGAAAGCTGCTCACCTTAGCGCACCGGCTGCGTCCGCTTTCTCTCATATTAGCGCCTCTCTGAGTCTCTGTTGACTCCTTTTGTTTTTCTTTTCTTTTTCTTTCTTTCTTGGTTTTACACACTCGACTGTTTCCGACTGTTGAGCGCAACTCCACGCCCATTTCAGGAGTTCACTGCCAACAAGCAGTGACCTTCCCTCCGCTCAGACCGCTCGTAAAACTGAACACCGCAGGCTCCGATCATGTTAATGATCGGCTGGCTGCTCTCTGCTTGTTACTAAACTGTCACCGAGTTTTTCTCTTTTCTTTTTTTAAGAAGTTGAAACTGAGGCACATAAAAAATAAAGAGGAAGAATACAAAGTGGAGGGACTTGAGTGGTATTTGTTGGGAATACTTGCATGTCCCGGCTTGATCCCGGAGCCCCGGGATATGCATTCAACACAGGCAGGAATGCAAGCTGGCTGCCAACACGTTCACTTAAAACAGCATCGATGATAAAATAATAATAATAAGGAAGCTCCGGCTTATTTTCATTCAAGTATAAAAACTACAAGAAAACATGATTAATGATGGCGTTTAAAAATCCCTTATAAGATAAAGTTAAGAAGAAAAGATAAAGTTTCAAAAATAAATAAATATATTTACTTTCACTTTTTCTTTTTTTTTTTTTACAATTTTCAGATAATTTTTGCTTTCATGTTTTCCTTTGTTTTTTTTTATAAATTCTGGGCTTTTTATTTATTTATTTATTTAAAGTAATGAAGATCTTAATAGGAGGGAAATGCGTGCAGTGTGCGGCATCGGCCACATGATGGCGACACAGTGCTACATTACTGCGGCCTGCCTCTGAGGACGCCTGACCCGGCAACAGGTAAGGCACAGCTCTAAACAACACGATGAATAATAGTCATTTATTATTAGTAACATCTATTATAGAATGGCGTAAAATTTTTAAATGCTTTCACGTTGCCACCACCTTCCAAAGACTTGGGATGTTAGGTTAAGAGGTGATTCCCAGCTCCTGTCCAGGATATATCCCGTGATTTCTTTTGTCAGATTAGGACTGAATGCATGCTGAGTGCAATGCCATTGAACATTATAGCAGTACAAGATCAAAGGACTTTGATACGACTCGTTTATTTAATGTTAACATGATTAGACTTGAATGCCCAACCCATTCTTACAGCGATGCTGAGTATTCTTTTAATTCCAAATAAGGATCAAGAAACTTGTTTTAATACTGATGTCAAAGTAACATCGTAAGTTCCACACAGGAAACCCACAAAATGACTCTGTGGTTGTGTGTGTCTCTGCTTTTTTCTCCTGTAAATAGTTTAGGTGCTGCCCAACATGCTAATGCCTTTGTAGCAACGCTTGTGGCGTTAGGAAAACAAATGATTTATGAATGTGAATGCATTCAATCAACAGGGGAGAACTCCAGTAACTTCCTGCTGTGCTTTTGAATGATTCCCGGCTTCGTGTGACATTTTTTAACTGGCCGGATATGCAAGCAGTGAAATGAGTGACAGGAGACCGTCAGACGTGAGATGCACAGAGCTCTCTGCCTTCCTGTGAATCTCCTCTTTTGTCTCTCCCTTCCACGCCTCCAGGGGTCGCCTTGGCAACATGTTTTACTGCTGGCAGCCAGATAAATGCAGCCTTGGCGCCTGTAAACTGGGATAGCCGGACGCAGTAACCCTCACTGCCAAGGACACAGCAATCCAGCAGGGCTTCGGCTTCGAACATAAAAGGAGGTACACAAGAACTGAAATCCTCTTTTAATCAGTATTTGACGCTTATCAGCTGAATTGTGTAAAAGCAGGGAAAAGATTTTGCCAAATGCAAGATGGACTGAAAAAGTAAAAGGCCCAAAGAAAAGCCTGTGCAGATACTTCTGACTCTCAGCTTTTTTTGCATTTTGCAGTCCAGCGTGGATACGAATCTGCATGCAGACAAACTCATGGAAGGACAAAAGCCTCCTGACTGCACAAGCGAGGACAGACTCCTCATTGCATTGGCTGAAACTGTTCAGGAGCTTGAAGGTGTCCAATGCTGCGGAGATCATCTCGATACAGCCACGGGTGGGAGGATGGAAGAAGGAGAAGATGAGAGGGAGGATGAAAGAAGACGAAGGAGTAAAGAGCAGCAGGAGGGAGACTGCAAAAAGAGAGCTCTGGGAGTGCTGAGGGAAGTCAGTGTTTTTCATTCATGCAGACTCAGAGCATGGAAACAAGCCCTCAGACAATGTTCCTCCACGCTCAGCAGCTCTCCACCAGGGGGTGGAGCTCAGCAGCATCCATCTACGACAGGCAGAGGTGGCAAAAGTACAGACGTTCTTTACTTAAGTAGAAGTACAGATACCTGTGTTTAAAAATACTCCAGTAAATGTTGAAGTACTGATCCAACATCATTACTCAAGTAAAAGTAAAAAAGTACAGGCTCAGAAATGTACTCAAAGTAAGAAAGTATTCTAACCATTCTTGTACAGAGGTAACTAAACCTTGTCTGTGTTAATATAATAATAAAATAATATTAGTGTACAAGAATACAAACATTATCCCAATCTGTAGTTTTAATGAATGTACTCAGCTTGAATCTGTTATCTAGGACACAAGCAGTGACAGAAAATTTAAATAAATAACTATTTTCTGTTGCCAACATTGTAGAGGGAGACTCTGCCTCCATTGCTAAACAGTACACTGAGAACAGTCAGGGGTGAAAGTGCGATTTAGCAGGTGGAGGAGCACTACGATCTGTGTAGTGGCTCAGCATAGGGAAAAGAATCACAACTCACAATACTTTCTAATATGAACTTCAGCAGATTTTCTTAGTGTGATCAGCTGACCTGCTGCTTGCTTCACAGCTGTCCCATATCACTGATACTATACTCTCTATACTTTATATACAGTTGGTATAAAGTTGGAATTCAGTGAATGAACCTAAGCATCATCCGCGTAAATGCAAATTCATCTCTGCAACACTTGATGTAACCTAAATCTGACTATGACCACCACAGCCACTGTGCACCAGTTCAACACAATGGGAATTCACCACATTGATGCAAGCTAACCTGTTTATCCTGAACTGCTCAGTATTTTCATGCAACCTTTGAGTATCAAAAAGTTAGTTTGTTTTTTAGGATATTTCACGACAAAAAAAACGCATCATTTATCAAAACACATCATATACAGAGTCAATTCAAATTATGACATCATACATCTGGAGTTTATCAAACACCACTGAGCTGTCCTTACCTTTAAATCTACTCTCTCTTCTTCTTCTCCTGTCCTGTCTTTTTTATCTTCCTCCATCTCTGTGAAGTTAGCTCTCACTCTTTTATCCCCCTGCGAAATACAGCAGCTGGAGCTTTAGCTCGCAGACGCAGTGTACGACAACCTGCACACAAACAGTCTGTGTGTTTCCTGAAGTTTGTTGAGCTGATAGAAAAAATGTATTTGAAATGCCCTGCCACTTAAAATAGCACTCTCTTCATGCTTCCTCCTTTTCTGTAGCGCTAGCTAAATGCTGAAGTACCACAACCACAACTAACGGATACATTCAGTCCTTCCCGCCCACTTTAACCCCTGAAATAAACCCTATAGACGAACTTATAGATAAACCAAAAGTAACGAGTCTGCTTTGAAAGCGTAAGAGGAGAAAATACAGACATTTGTTTAAACATGTAGGGAGTAAAAGTACAGATGCCAGAAAATAAAAAAGTTACTTCTCATCTCTGACGACAAAATAAACTTCAAATAGAAAACGAAATTAAATTGTGGAATTCTCAGAGCCTCAGAAGTAACAATGTATTTATTTTCATTTATTAAATTTCACTCTCAAAGTTGCACGCCTCCACCTTCATATCCCCCTCAAGCTCTCCAGGGTCTCTGAAGGTTCTTTCAAAGTGTTTATTTGGACTCTGGGTCCTTTTTTATACTATTTTTCAGTCCAGTCCTTGTACCTGACCATTTTCAGAGGAAAGAACAAACCTATGAACCATTCAAGTACAAAGATAGCGTTGTGTCTACACATAACAGAAAACCTTTCAATCTTTAGGCACTTTGTTACTAGTAGATTGTTGCAGCAACACATAATTTGATTTTAAAAGTCCCATCAGATTTTTATCCACCATGTAATACAATCTGGAAAGCATCCGATTGGCAGCAGGTTAATTTCTCAGTATGACAATGATCCCAAACACACTGCCAATGCTGAAAAAATATACCTGGATGGAAAAACACACAGTGGAGCATTATCAGTCATGGATAACATTATTGAAGTGTGCGGGATCATCTTCACAGAGAATAGAAAAAAAGGCAGAAACATCCAAAGTAGAGCTTTGAATGTCCTTCAGGAAGTCTGAAGAACTATTCCCGACGACTATTTAAAGAAATGACATAAAAACATGCAGGCTTTCAGTGGTGGGTGTGTAAAAAAGTGTAACTAATTTAAAAACTCAAGTAAAGGTTTAATTTTTTTTCAGAGGATACAGGATGCAGACCCTGTTCGGGCTCCGTCAGTGACATTTTTCTGAGTGTTGGAGAGGACGTAGAGAAGATCATCGACAAAATAAGCTCCATCATTATCAAGCTGGATGCAGCGATTCAGCAGTTATCTGTAGATAAGACCTCGATCGTGGGTGAAGCACGTCAAGAATCCAGAGACACAGACACTTCGGCGCAACCTGAAGACGTTAAGAATCACCTAAAATCCCCCGATCGACTCAAGTCTGACTCAGGTCACGAACGGATGATTGAGGACGGAGCTGATCGAAGGCGTACAGAGACATCGGCAGACACTGAACAAACACTGGACTCATTCAGTGGTTCTAATTGTGACAACGGGGCAGAATCACATGTCAAAGGTCAAGCACAAGACATTCTGCAGGAATCCGTTAACTCTGAGACTGAGTTACTAAAGGAGACTGAAAAGGAAGATGAGAGCGCAAAGAGAAAAAGAAAATGGATTACTGTAGGGTAAGATGACTAAATCACCACAGCTCACCGTACTTAAACTCTTAACACATAAGTATTTATGTTTAACCCTCACTTCCTGTCAGTGTAATATGCAACATATTGCATGTTTGTGGTCTTTTGCTTAAAGCTCTATGATAGCTCTATTTGCAGTCAGTTTTGTGTTTTTTTGATGAGGCTATTCAAGCATAATGAAATCGAAACTTCTTCTGTGTCAGTTTACACACGTTTCGTGCACAGTGTGAGGTAGCACATCATTTTACGTTTGTTGGAAACACTTGCTGACAATGTACTGGCAACATCAGTAATCCACACGCCTAAAAAAAAAAAAGAAAACAAAAAGATGTTGAGTATTTTGTTCTGTGCCCTCCGTTGGGATGATTGCGAGTCTGGACATGATTTCCTTCCCCTCATTTCTCCTGCTCACTGATACGGGACAAACTCTCTGCAGCGCTTTATCACAAGTCGCACACATTTTTGACCTCCTGGCCTCCACACAGCCAGCTGTTTCGCACAGTTCACTGTCAGGCCACTGCACACATACATCTAAAAGCCAAACAAATCGGGAACATTAAGATCCGAGGGAGAGGCTAAGTCTGGAGAGAGCCGATATGGAAAGTGCATGCTCCAGCATTTCAGCAAGTCTTAATATGTTTGCACTTGAAAAAAAAA